ATTTATGAAAGAAAAGGTTTTTAAAAGTCAAAAAACCATCGATAGTTTCGATAGTTTGCGAAAGTGAATTCCCCTTTAGCGCGTACAAACAATTTTTACTGGTCAAAGCAAATGAATAGCACTAATTTAGGGGAATTCCCTTTATGTGCATACAATAAAATTTACTGGTCAGAGCAATTGAAACGTGTAAATATTTTGTGAACTGTCAATGCAATAAGACGTGTTTGGTAAAGAAATTTTTTGCAGGCAAATTTGATTTTCAATTTTAACGCATTAAGATAAAAGATAAGCCAAAAAATATTTTGTATTTATTCAGTTATTTATGTTTTTTAATTTTGTTAAATATTTTATGTATCCCTAAAAAGAAATGTCAGATATAAAACTAAAACGGAAGGCAATTTCTTTGGAAACCAAGATTAAAATTTTAGATCGCCTTCGAAATGGAGAAGGCTCAACTGCTCTTAGTAAAACGTTCGGTTTAAATGAAGCCACAATAAGAACTATACATAAAAATGAAAATAAGCATTATATATTTAATTTAATAAAATACACATGAATTATTGTTCTTAAAAATTGTTGTTTTTCACTAATTTTAATAGGTTTTAGAGATTAGGAACAAATCACCCATTTTTGTATAAGATCAATGTCTTTTTTTACACGAATTTTTTTACCAATCTACCATGTAAAACAGACTTAGGTGTATATATGTATATATATATATATATATATATATATATATATATATATATATATATGTATATATATATATATATATATATATATATACAGGGCCGGTCCTGCCTTACATGCGATGCATGCAAATAATGCGGGCGCACGCCTTAGGGGGCGCCAAAACGAGTTTTGAAAATTAAATTTATATTATAATATTTATATTTTTTATATAAAATCTGGAATTATTTATATAAAATCTAGAATACTTAATAAATTATAATAAACAATCTAACTTAACTAGGGATAGGGAGACCCAAAAAGCATATTTATTTTGCAATGTGATATCAGTAGAAGCAATTAATCGATTAATAAATGACTCTGCAAATTAGTAAATACCAGCTCTATTTATTGCTTAATCTTCTTATTCATTTTTTTAAGTTGCCGTGGAATCAAAGAAGAAATCATCTAGTGTCAATCCCATAAGCGCAAACCTGCGAAAGATTAAATTCGGAAAAAAAGGGTAGTCAGTGCTTTAATGGCATGTTTACTCCGAAGAATAGAATTGTAATTTTTATTTTTGTTGCAAATGTTTCGCATCTGATGAATTTTGAATGTTGAAGATATGCGTAGTTAGGGTTATGGAAATGGAACAAATATGAAAAATAAAAGCAAAATTTACTTTGGAACGAAAATCTTAAGGCTTTTTCATACCTAGTGGTGCCCATACTCTAAATTTTTAACTATGCGGAAATAATACATATCAAATATAATGACATTTTTTTCAATATAGTTTAAGAAATGTGTAATTTCTTTACAGTTTTGGACAATACTTCTAAAATTTAACTTCAAAACAACAAATTCTTACTCTGAATATAACGGGAAAGCCTGGATGAATACAATTCGGCTCTTACGATATCAATAAAAAGAAGTTTACGACGCAATTTTGGATATTGTAAATGATGAAAAATTAAATTAAATTAAAATTTAAAAAATCCAACATGAAATACGAGTGTTATGATTGAAAATGGAAAGCTAGTTTTTTTAGCTCTCTTGGAATGATTTTCTCAATAAAATATATCGCATAATGAATAAGTAAAATGTTTTAAAACCCAAATATTATAATTGCACATACGCTAAAAATAATTGAAAATTTAAAAATATTTAATTATAATCGCCACGATTTTCTAAATAAATTTAAAATGAATATATTTCATACGATTTTAGATTATATCTAATTATTTGAGTACTAAATCCAGAATAATTAAAAAATTAATTAATTATAAACTGTTAAAACAGTTAAAATTAACAGGGGGGGGGGGCGCTAGAAAAAAAGTTGCATGCGGGCGCTAAGAATCCCAGGACCGGCACTGTATATATATATATATATATATATATATATATATATATATATATATGTTCTATATATATAAAAATAAGTCGGGTTTTCCTTACTGACGAAATAACTCCAGAACGCACGAACCGATTTCAACAATTTTGCATTCGTTGGAAAGGTCTCGGGCTCCGCAAGGTTAATAGCTAAGAAAATTAGTGGTGCATGGCATCGTGCCCTAATAAAAATTGCTGGAACTCCATGCACCATAATTAAAAATTAGAGTAATAAAAATAATCAACAATTGTTTTAAATAATATCAAATAGCTTATCTTCTTCTTCTATATATATAAAAATAAGTCGGTTTTTCCTTCCTGACGAAATAACTCCAGAACGCACGAACCGATTTCGCCAATTTTGCATGCGTTGGAAAGGTCTCGGGCTCCGCAAAGTTCATAGCTAAGAAGATTAGTGGTGCATGGCATCGTGCCTTAAGCTGCTGGAACTTCACGCACCGTAATTAAAAATTCGAGTAATGAAAATAATCAACAATTGTTTTAAATAATTTCAAATAGATTTTCTACATATATATAAAAACAAGTCGGGTTTTCCTTTCTGACGATATAACTCCAGAACGCACAAACCGATTTCGACAATTTTGCAAGCTGCTGGAACTTCACGCACCGTAATTAAAAATTCGAGTAATGACATTAGTGTGAGAATCAGACTTAACCAATCAGAATTATGATTGGTTAAGTCAACGAGCAATTCTTGCCGCAAAGAATAATGATGTACATGCACTGAATTTCACCATTCAATCAAAAATTGCTGGCGATTTGATGATATACCAATGATTCCGACTGGTCTTCCGTTTGACTTCAAACGATTGCAATTTCCAGTTCGCCTTGCGTTGGCAATAACAAGTCTCAAGGCCAATCGCTTAATGTTTGCGGGATAAATTTCAGATAGATTATTTAGAAAATCATTGTTTTTTACATGGGCAGTTATACGTTGCCTGTTCACGAGTTGGAAAACCATCCGCTTTGTTTGTGTTAACGTCAGACCAAAAAACAAAAAATGTGGTTTACCAAAGAGCACTTCAATGAAACGGATAATTTGCGGATTCCCTTTCATTTACTTAAGGAAATTCAACTAAAAAACACTTCAATTTTGTAATCGAAATAAATTCATTACTGTTGTATAATAAAATCAAATTTTTCCTTTACAAATATGAAACAAACAAAAAATTTCTTCGTCTTTCTCACGAAACCATCTGGTGGCGAAACGGAGTTCGTCGGATTTGCTAGTTTATTTATATAAATATCTTAGACAGCTCATCAATTCCAATTGTATCTGCATTGTATTACTTAGTGTCTTTGCTGAAACCCATATTCTGTTACTACATAAGCATTGAAGTATAAATGGATGATGTAGACTCCTCTCATATTTATATATAAATAAGAAATGTAAACTTAGAAAGTATTAAAACATTAAAATTTACTTTTAATGCATTTTTGTAAATGTATGAGAAATAGTTAACCTTTCGCAACGAGTGTCGTCCATGTACGACATCCACTCGACTGCCTGTGTATATGAATGCCATTCATGGACGACGTCCGATGACGTGCTGTGTGTACGAATGTCATTCTTGGACGACATGTTGGTTGTTGGACTTTGCTTCAAGATTTATCACTTTGAATTAATCTATTGGTAATTTTAATCTTTAGTTTAGTCTAGTTTTTGCTGTGTTAATGTAAAATAATGTTAAATGAATTGTGACACAAATTCTGAAATATCATAATATTTCTAAAAATCGAAATCGAAATTGAAAATTTTTGCATTTCTCGACGTTTTGGAGGTTTCTGAACATTTTGGCATACCTCAAAAAAAATGGATATGTGTGTGTATATATATGTATGGATACAATTTTTCGTCCACGTTTTCGGGCGCACGGATCAACCGGTTTGAATGGTTCAAAAAACATTCGATTCCTATTGATAGGGAGATGTGCTGATTAGTTTTTGGCAAAGGCAGGTCCAGCCGTTTCGGAGATATGGAGCAAAGAGTGCAGAAAATAGAAATCGAGTTTTTGAGAGATCGGAGAATCCGATTTTAATGATCCAAAAAACATTCAATTTGTATTGACGGGGAGAAAGGGTGATTAGTTTTTGGCAAAAACAAATCCAGCGGTTTCGGAGATACAAAGCTCAATGTGCAATGTATATGTATGGATACAATTTTTCGTCCACGTTTTCGGGCGCACGGATCAACCGGTTTGAATGGTTCAAAAAACATTCGATTCCTATTGATAGGGAGATGTGCTGATTAGTTTTTGGCAAAGGCAGGTCCAGCCGTTTCGGAGATATGGAGCAAAGAGTGCAGAAAATAGAAATCGAGTTTTTGAGAGATCGGAGAATCCGATTTTAATGATCCAAAAAACATTCAATTTGTATTGACGGGGAGAAGGGGTGATTAGTTTTTGGCAAAAACAAATCCAGCGGTTTCGGAGATACAAAGCTCAATGTGCAAAAAATGGCAGTTTTTGTGAGAACTAAGCGTCAGATTTAAATGATTCAAAGAACTTTCTGCTTGTTTCAACAAAATAATAGATTTAAAAAAAAAAAATTTATTGTTCCAAAATTTTTTTTCAAATCATTTTTGTATCTCGAAAATAATTCAGATTTTATTTTTAATTTTGACTAAAGTTCTAATATACTATAAACAAATAATTTCAACTTTGCAATCAGTTTATATAATTCTTATAAATATTAGACAATGTTACAGTAATTATATTAATTTATTTGAAAACATTTTATATTTCTCGAACATTTCATTACGGTACGGGAAGTTCCAGCAATTTGCCTTAAGGCACGATGCCAAACACTCCTATATTTCAAAGTTCTATATTTCAAATCAATAAAACATATACGTTTGAAATTATTTTATTTGTAAAAAAAAAATTGTAATTGTAAACAGTGAAATATCTTTAAATATATGTGTACATACAATTTAATTAGACTCTAATGAAATTACATCAAAAGCCCAAGAGGTTGAGTTTTGTAGATTCATTTCTCACAGCCATTACTAAGCTTTTGTTTATAAGGAAAGTAAACTTTAAACTAGCAATCTGAAAAACAATATAATATAATATAATATAATATAATATATATATATATATATATATATATATATATATATATATATATATATATATATTAACAAAGTCTAGTAATCGAGCATAACATCAATAAAAAACATGAATTTCTTTCAAAAATTTAGTTTACATCCATACGTTTCGGCTAGAATTTTAGCATTCAGTGGAAACTAAAAATAAAATTAAAAACTAATACAATTGAATTGGAGTGAAAAGAAAAAAAAATAAAAAGTTAGTTAATCTTAGTGTTAAATTAGAAGATTTTAATCATCCATGGTACCAGGATATGGTAATGCACTACAGACTACACTATGTAATATAAACATTAAATTCACAAAATACTAATTTTAAAAAATCACAAATAGATAGTGTGTAATATATGTGTTGATCATAGACTGATATAATGGAGAAGACTTTAAAAATATTTTTGATATGTAAAATATCATTTTTGAAAGAAATTAATGTTTTTTATTGATGTTATGCCCAATTACTTGACTTTGTTAATACATATGTCAATATCAAATTCAGAATCATACATATATATATATATATATATATATATATATATATATATATTTTGTAGAGTTTCGAACAAGAATCCAAAAGTAATAAAAAAACAAGAAAAGTTTTTAATAAACAATTTATTTATTTATTTATTTATTTATTTACTGTCGACGTTTCAGAACTAGGTACGTTCCATCTTCAGGACATCTGTCAAGAAACATGATCTTGATGAGATTTAAGCAAACAATATGTTTAGGGAACGAAAATAGATTTTTCTTAAATAATAAATTAATTGCAAAAAATAATAATGTCAGAAACATAAAATATGTACACAAAAGAATGAGACAACATGAACTAAGTGTGGTCCACCATAAACAAAAAAATTTCAAAAGTACCCTAGTACAACACTCTATTGAAAACGCCCATTCATTTAATTTCACTCCAAGGATTTTATATCATGAAAGTTGCATCTTTAGGAAATTATTCACGGAGAGTTGTCTTATTCTTATGAATGTTTCTAACAGTGTCAACATTAGATCAGATCACAACCTATTACATGATTCATATTTAAATTTTTTACACTTTTTGACAAACAATTAATATCGACTTCCTTTTTAATTAATAATTTAAGTATTCACACTCTAACATTAAAAACACACACTTACAATCTCACAGTTCTCGTTCAAGTGTTTACATGTGTTACAAATGAATCATCAGATTCAGTTAGTTTGTTTCCAAAAGCCGATCGCATAACATCGAGAGAACAATATTATTTGTGTTTTCAAATAATAATTTTGAAAAAGACAAAACTTTTAGTAATTTTGATTTACAAAATTTAACTATTCGGCGGAAAAATAACTCACAAATTCATTTTTTGTTTAAAAATCTTGTTTAGTGGAAAAGTGCTAACGTATATTCAAACATACAGGTAATTAATTCAATTTTGTCATTAACCTTTTCTTAAAATTTTCCATAACTTTCAAAAAAATTCTATCATCTTTAATATCCTGTTCTGATAATCCACTCATTTATTTTTATCATTTTCATTTTGATCATATTATCATATTTCTGTACATTATTATTTTTTGCAATTAATTTATTATTTAAGAAAAATCTATTTTCGTTTCCTAAACATATTGTTTGCTTAAATCTCATCAAGATCATGTTTCTTGACAGATGTCCTGAAGATGGAACGTACCTAGTTCCGAAACGTTGACAGTAAACAAATAATTAAATAAAGAAATTGTTTATTAAAAACTTTTCTTGTTTTTTTATTACTTTTGGATTCTTGTTCGAAACTCTACAAAATGTACACAAATCCAAGATTCTACCATTCAATATATATATATATATATATATATATATATATATATATGCAGTCTTACCTCAATTGTCGAATTATGACTAAGTTTGTACTTATTGCCCTGCATTAATGGCCGTCCATCCACAAAGATTGGACGCTTACCATCAGATGATATAAAAAAATCGCCATTGTTTCGTAGTTTAATAGTTCCTTGACGCCTTGAAATTTTATAGACAGGTCCCTCTAATGCCAAATCTACATCCACATCCTGATTTTTCGAATTTCTACCTATAGTGATCTAGAGGAAAAAAGAACAATGACTATATATGAAAAAAAAAAAAATTCAATATATATATTAAAATTAATTGAAATAGAATTATTTTTGAGAACAATCTTCAATATCTATACCTCTCTGGATCGCATAAGATATCTCACTAGGCGACCTCTAAGAATAGCTAAGGTATGATTGTCAAATTCAGGTGGATGCATACCTGTCACAGAATCAACAAGTACCTGCCATCGAACTAATTCATCCTCTAATTGACGAATCTCACATTTGTTCTTACTAAAATAAATCATTCAATAATATGATATTGCTAGAAATGTCTTATGTTTGCTGATAGTAGCTTAATAGATAAGTAGATAAAGTAGATAAAAATATGCTTATATACCGGTCTGTATATCTAATTTCATTTTCTAGCCAATCTTCCTTCATTTCACTAGGCTCTATTGATTTGACAAGTTGTTCTAATTCAGCAAATGCATGTAATTGATCCCCAGTCGAAGGCGGTATAGAAACTTGGTCAGGTAACAAATTATATAACTTTAACATTTGCCAATAATTCATTAATGTTTTGGGAGTCCTAGCATAAAAAAATACAGATTGATTCTCTTGGAGAAGTTTTGTGAATGTCTCTAATGTAGGTGAATCCGTCTACAAATGTATTGACAATGATTATCAATAAATGGTGCAAATTATAATTATATTCAATGAAGTAAATTTGAATACAATATCATACACTTTTAATAGTTCCTAGTAACTCTTCCTCTGCAGTACTATATAATGTTTTGGCTTGAACATTTGCAATTAACTCTGGATGTAAATTTCGCATGGCTGTTATAGCCACTCTACTCACAACTTGATCGTACATTAAAGCATACCATCTTTGTTGTATTTCTTGAACAGTGAATCTACAGGAAAATTTAATTCCCCTATGAACCTGTCTGATATCATTCACTCTTTGGACAGCAGTTATTAGAGCTAAATCATCTGTAGGTTTCCATCTACCTAAATCTTTAGTTGTTATGGGTGGCAAGGGTCCATTCCTCTTTTTATTTCGACCTTTATGAGAACTATGACTTCCTCCTACATAAGGTCTTGGGGGCGGCCTTTTCTTAATTATCTCTATAGGAGCGGGAGGGGGATTTGCTACTGAAGGAGGAAGAACAATGTTAGACGCTGGTATATCTTGATTTGTTAGAGAGTAAGTTCGAGATCTAGACACTTTAGATACTGAACCAGCACCAGTGGGCAAGCCTAAACTGTATTCAACTAGCTCATCATCAAATCTTCTGCGTTTTATTGATCTTTGTGAGCTAAAATAATTCAAAGCATACTTTTACTAAAGATGTAACAAATAACCATATGAAATAAAGTAAATAGAAGTCTGACACTGTACTCTCATATTAATTAAGGATTTCTGCAATGGTTAGCGTCATAAAACAAATTAAAATTCGTCCAAACGTCATACCTAAAACGTTTACAACAATACTATTTAGTATATCTCTTTCATTTTTTCAGTAGGCCAAAGTTTAGTGAAGTTCTGGTAATTTAGTAGTAGCTTAAGTTACTAGATAAAATAGACACTTGTGCGTTGTTTAACTTCTGCTGTGTCCTAACATTATGATAATGCTCGAAAAAAAAAATACCTTCTTCTTTTAGTGTCTCTGGCATTATCCGAACTAATGTTCCCTACATCAATCCCATCAGAAGAAGCATTTGGTAAACAAGATGAAGAAAATTCCATTTCTTTAATATTTAATCTAACTTACAAAAGGCGTATCACAGTTGTGTCAAACTTACAACTACTTTTTGTAAAGAAATACTTGTAAAAACGTAAACAAACTCAAAAAAGCGTGATTGCGTCTCCAATTCATATCAGCCTACTAGCTTCACTTGACAATTGACATTTCCATTATTTTGGTATGTTTGCTTGTATCAATTTTGTCTATACACCACAGATTAAATATACTATAGAGCGGTCACTTATTAACTGTGGCCACATACTTGTTGGTGCTTGTAGTGGCAGCACAGTTCTAAATTGGGCCAAACCATAGATAAAAGAAGAGTATTCGCTATATATTCGCTATGTGTGTAACCATCGTATGTGCGTATGGCACATAGCCAATAGTCCTAGACAATATACTAATAGCCAATACTAATGGCCAATAGTAGTAATGCCTAGATAAATAAGCATCAGGTAGTAATGTATAGCGTCGCTGAACTTACTAAATCGTTTTCTTGCTTAAGCGATGATATTACTTTGTCTTTTGACAGTAATTGTTCACTTTGCTGCTGAATTAGACCCAAATGCAGCAATAATAAATCCTTCAAATGTCTCACTTCACTAATCGAATTATTAAAGTTATCATTTAGCCGAGAAAACGCGCTAGAGCGTTGTTTATTTTAAGGTGCGTCCACACCTAACGAACGAACACGAACGAACATGTCGAACAAGAAAATACAAAGAAGAACGAACAGGAACACGAACGAACGCGAAAAATTCCAAACAAACGCCTCAAAGCAGTGAGGGCTTGAATCTGTTTGTTCGAGGATGTACCGTGAAATGTCAGATTTTTTATTTAAAGTGGCGGGAAAGAGCAAAATTATTTAAAGTCATCAAATTTACAAAATTTGTCAATAACAGCAATATCTTATAATAAACACAACATAAATTAATGCATTAATGCACATTTTAACATAAAAAAAGAAAAATGTTTGTCAACATTCGTGGTAGCGTCCACACTGCACATACGAGTTCAAACATGAACGAACAATTCCCTTTGATGTACCGACAAGTTGCGGAACATTGTTCGCCATGCTTGTTTATGTTCGTTCGTGATCGTTGTGGCGTCCACACATAGACCTTATACAATTGTATTGTATAAGGTCTATGCGTCCACACTATGCTGTTGCCGTTCGTTCTGGTACGTTCATTTATGTTTGTTCATGTTCGTTCGTTAGGTGTGGAGCACCTTTACATACCATAGACAAAAGAAGAGTACGCAGAGTTTTTAAAAGTGTAAGAATGAATAATTTTGTCCACCATATGTAAACTTACTTAAATGATGAGTAATATAGTTAGTATTGGTTAGTATTATAGTAATGGATCACCAATATTGTTAATTGAACCTTACATTTCTCTGTTTATTTTCAATATAGTAAATTACCAGAAGAAGTCTGTTTTTTCTTTCTTTCCAAAAATTAATCAGTTGTTTACTTCAATACAAGTAAAATATTTATTTAAATATAGAAATCGGACGCTCCGTTATCTCCAAAACTGAAATACCATTTTTGGTACTTTTTGCCCAAAATCTTTGAAACGACCAGACCCATAGATAAATAAGCATAGGCCAGACCTGCCTTTGCCAATAACAGCACATTTCCCCATCAATACGAATCGAATGTTTTTTGAATGATTCAAATCGGTTGATCCGTGTTCCCGAAATCGTCGACGAAAATTTGTATCCGAACACACATACAACACAAAATGTTCAGAAACCTCTGAAACGTGAAGATATATAAAAACATTAATTTTCGTTTTTTTTCAAATTCGACATTCAAATCGGTTGATCCGTGCGCCCGAAAACGTGGACACACACATCCATTTTTTACGTATGTCAAAATATTCAGAAATCTTCAAAACGTGAAGGTACGCAAATATTTACAATTTCGATTTCTGATCGATTACAATAACTTATTACCCTATGGGAATTTAAAAAAAAAGTATCAAAAAAGAAATCGTATCGACTAACTATTTCTAAAGATCATTTGATCCATGAATGGAGGAAATATCTTCATCATTAAGTTAAAAACACTTGATCATAATCAAAAATATATGGAAATGATATACATTATTATACATTAATTTTCTTTGAAATTGACACTTGTGGATTTTTTTTCATATGTATTTAATTATCAGTTTTCTTCATAATTAACAGGGCATATATTTTTTGTAACTTTTCAAAAGGTGTTGATGATTCAAAGATGAAAACTTAACTAGAAAATCATAATGAATTTTTGAAAAATTGACTTCATTTAAAATTCAAGAAATTGTATTGATTCTATGAACATAAGTTGAACGATTTTTTCTTCTTAATAGTTAATTTTGTTATAATCTAGTTTAAAAATTATTTAATTAAAACACAGTTATTTCATTAAAATTATTTTCAATATTGGGATGTGCACAAAACTTGCTTTAAGGGCCACCTAACCCTAATTATTTTGATTTTTCATCTCATACATTTTTCTTTTGAATTACTGAAGAATATTCACTCGCTTTTGTAGGACTTATCAAGAAGAGGTCAAGAGTTAAATTATGATTTTTTATAATATAAAAAGTTAAATTTAATTTTTATAATCACCAATTTTATTACATTGATCTGTTGGACTACAATACATTTTTTTTAAAGAACATGTTTGCAATTCAGCCATTCTGACTTACACATTTACAATATATACAATTGTGTCTACACTATGGCAACACAGATTGTTTAAAAAATCTATCTTTCAAAATATTAAAAAACTCACTTATCACATTCTCAATGCAGATTCAACATGCATACCTATAAATCTACATTGAATGTATAATTAATTATACTTTTATCGATTAATAATTTCTTTATAGTATTACATAAGCACAAATTTATAAATCACATATTTATATATGCAAATATATGTAATAGTCTTTTTTAAAGTATAATACAAGAAAATGCATATACATCTCCAGATTGTAAAAATTTATTAACTTTAATTCAATTTAAACTTCACATTATTAGTAAAGCACAAACCAAAGTTCAATTGTAAAATATGGAAATAGTTTGAAACATAAATGTTTGTATAAAATGTCGACCATAGTGAATTTCACTGTTTAAATAAAAACCTAAAATTTAATATATATCAGATAATATTCTAAATTCAGTACAAACTAAAATCTTAACAATTGTTGATGCCAATTTCACATACGTACATATAAATGTATTTAACTTATGTGTATATATCATAAAATTTATTTTACATGGACATCTGAGTGTCACAATTTCAGAAACAACTTAACACACTATTATATATACTCATCTATATGCTTAAGTTTGAGATTCATATTAATTAATAATGCAACTGTCTTACATTATAATCAAGGCAACACCAACAGCGAAGACTTTTATCACTGTTTTATTTCCAAATCACATCTAATAACAAGAATTGTAATTGTAAAATGTGCTCATACATCTTCTGATTTCTTTTCTTTCTTGTTGCTCCTTAGTCCCACATTTCCCCCCATTAGTTGTTTTCGAGGGGGGGCTTCTCCTCATTTGGGAGGAAACTGATTTATTACATTGACAGCTGCATTTACACCTGCTAAAAGCAATAAAAAGGTTCAGTTTAATTTTTTCAATGAATCAAAAAGGAATGGGCAAATTCAACATAACTGAAGTAAATAAGATGTTATCAAGAACAAGTTGCTTCTATTAACTTATAAAAACATACCTCCAAATGGTGCTGGATATTGTGGGGCCATAATAGGGTATCCGAGTCCTACATGAGTATGGTGATGTGTGTGCACATGATGTTGAGGGGGTGGGCCCTCTTTCCCCTCTTCAGTCTTTATTTTTTCTGGATTGCTTTTATCTCCAACTTGATTTTGGTCCCCGCTATTTGCCTGAGTGACTGTATTAGAAGGAACTTGCCCTCCCTTTGGCGTAGGTGGACTTTTCAAAGCCCTTTCCTGAAGTTCATGAATTTTGTGAGGGTAGAACTGATTAGCATGCTGCAAGATATCAATAGTTTTTGGAGTTTGATTTTGACTTCTAGACAAGTCTTCAGGATTGTGAAACCTGTGTAAATACGGCCCTGCGCCATAAGGACTTGGTACCAATTGCACAGGGCTCATATTTCGGTATACAGGATGAGCTGAGTCAAAGGCCAATCCTGCATAAGGATTACTTTGCAGATATCCTGAATGGATATAAGCGTATTGTTGAGGATGACTTTGAGTATCATTCACTTTAGATCCATCCTTTTGTTGCAATTTGACATTATCTTCCTTCTTGACAAAATCTTCTACTTTGATTGCATTACTGGGAATTGTAGCAGGCTTTGGACTTTTTGCTGGTTTAATAGGTGCTTGAAGCTTCGTAGGTGTTGATTCTGCCTCTTTTCTACGATTATCTGGATACATGTAATATCTGCAAAGAAAACAACTCTAATATAGTTGCTATGCAAATGATCTATAATTAATTTTAAAGCATATGATATTATATTATTTGCCTATGTAAGTCTTAAAATAAAGTGCAAACCTTCTAATATCCTCTTCTCTATACAAAAAACCAGCGCGCATCTGTTCCTTCATTTCTATGCTCTCTTTCAAAATTTGATGATTATCATTTGCATTCTGAGGTTGTGGGGTGTTTTGTGATGACATTGTACCATGTTGTAAAATTGGTTGTTCTCGAATATTATGAGGAGATGGGGGCCTTGTATTCATATGTTTATTGTTATCTTTAATTAATACCTGTGAATTATTTGGAATCACAATAGTGCTGGATTTAGAGTCATTATTCTGCTTAGGATTTGGTTGTTGCTGTTCTTCCTATAAGATGTACAAAATATTTAGTTAATTATATTGTATTCATAATGATACGTATTATATTTTGCCTGCAGTCCATACAAACAATTAATAGAATTAATTCTCTTTGGTTATGAAGAGTTATGGCTACCATAATACTTGAATTTCTGATTATTACCTTGTCATCCTGCTGCAAAGCAAAACTGCCTTCAACACCATATGGAAATCCTGTAGTCACATACCCGTATGGATAGCTATAATGCTGCTGTGAATTTTTATCACAAACATTCATCATTTCATGTTTATCGCCTTCTTTCTCAGAAGCAGTGCCAACCTTTTCTTCACACTTCCCAGGTTCTGTAGTCCTGACATAAGTTTGTTGCTGGTTAAAAAATGGATAAATGCCAAATGAATTTTTTTTGTCCATTTCGGCCTGAGAATCTTTATTTTTATCTGATGTGTTTCCATCATCAGAAATATCTGAGTATGCAGGACTAGTAGGCTGTTCATCATCTCTTAAACATGGTGATTTACCCCTTGTTAATTTTTTTTTGAAATTACATGATACCTTTTGTTTATCCTCAGGCATCAACTCTGACATGGGTTTTGCTTTTAGTGTATTATCACATGAACTCTCATCCTTTGGAGGCAGTTCATTGGGCTCATCCTTTTTCAAAATAACTTTTTCTTTATTAAATGACTGCTGTGGAGCGGCTCTAAATCTATCATCTTTTGCTATTTCCATCGCTTCATCTTTTTTAACAACCACCTTCTCTGTGCAAGGACTTGGCGGATCAATATTTGAAGAATCATCATTTTCCGATGCAGATATTGTATCTTTTTCTTCTTTATCTTCTCCACCATGAGCATGACTCTGATGATATTTCAGCCCATTGGCATGCTTGTACTTTTTATTACAATTCGGTTCAGGACATTCTAAAAGTGAAGGTGACCCTGGGGGACTATGATTTATGACACTTTTAGTCTTTTTCACAGGAGGAGCTACTGGAGTAGCAGTTGTTTCTGGAGGTTCATCAACACGACTTTTGCGCTTATCTACCTTAGTCGAAATCGTTGGATTGGTTGGTTCAGAAGGAGTTTTTCTATTTGTTTTATTACCACCATTTCGCAGCTTACTGTGAACAGAAGACCTGGTCTCAGTAAAATTACTTAAATCATTTGAAAGTCCTGAGCTCGTTACTGTTGCTTGTCCCCTGCCTAAATGAAAGTACACATTAATCACACAGTTTTGTAAATTTAAACTTATTTAACTGAAGTACTTGATCGAAAAACCCTCTTTTCTGACAGTAAACCACATAAGCAAATATTATTGATTCATCAAAAACAACTAAAATGATCACTTAAGCCATTTTGAAACTGGTTTTGCTAATCTTATTACATGCTAAGTCTTTGAAATATTGTGGAAGACACTGTATATATACCTCTTTTTCCACGACCTTTGGGAGTTCTTGCATCCATTTCTTCTATGGGTGAATCACAAAATCTAGGTGGTGCCCAATCATGCTTTGTACAATCCAAAAGAGTTCCGACATAGGTTTTACCTCTCCATGTAACATTAACTACTAGAACACCACCTTCAGTTTCATGCCAGACAATCCCTTCTAAAGTTACAGATGTGCCAGGTTCACATGGTCCTAAGCAATCAGGTTCAGTAATAGTTCCTACTGATGTACCCACACATACATCCAACATGTCCTAAAAAATATTAAAAAAAAAAAAAATGAAGCAGTAAGTAGAATGCATTGATTTTACATGTTACAAATATTTAGCTCAATTAGTCCATTTACAGTAGAACAATTATGGTTATTAATTAAACTACAAATAAAATATTTCAAATAGGTTTAAAAATGTCGCAAATATCTTTATTTTCTCGGCTCTTGAAGTTTTGTATTAAATTTAATATTTATTCATGTATATTATTTATTTATTTATTCACAGCATAAATGATTATTGAGTGATTCTGATTAGATTCAGGACTTGAACTACAAATCTCCTATAAAGTCCTTCAAAATTTAAATAACCCCTTAGTCCATGAGTTTAATGAAAGATGTTGTGGAGGGAAAAGTGTAGCAAAAATATTTCCATAAAGTAACTCATATACTGGCGGATGGTTTTCAAATTGGTCAAAAGAAAGATATCTTCTGGTAGACTAATGTAATTGAAGAACTTCTTCACCTCAGACATGAAGTGGAAAAAACAGTTGCCAGAAAAAAACAATACGGAGTTCTGCGGGATGATCTTGAACTATCCCAAAAACTTCCGAGCAATTTATAATTTTTCGGATGTATGCCGGACTATCGGCCATTCTAGTGTGATAGACTAATGAACTTCTACCATAAATATTTATTTTAGGTTTATATAATAATATAAGTCTAACTGTAATGGTGAACTAGTTTGATACATATATTATACTTATGTATCATGATTGTTGTAGCTTTATTTTGCTTTAAAATTGAAAATAATTCAATTAATGATAATTTGCATAGTTATTTAAAAGTAGAATTATAAGATACCTTAGTTTCTTCTTTGCGTTTCTTAAGCACGGGTTGAGCATCCAAGTCTGGTGTCTCTGTGGTCTTATCTAGCTCCTCTGGCGGTCCAGGCCCAGTGTTGACGACCCCGGCCTCCCTTTTTTCCCTTCTATGATTACTAGCATTATTGCTATTACTATTAACATTGACTGCACTATTACTAGCCACATTTCTTTTATTAACACTAGAACCATTTTGTAGTCCAGAACTTTTACTGTCATTGAGTGTGTTTTGCAAGGGAGATATCTGATGAGCACTTTTCACTATCTCATGTTTTGCTTCACAAGTCTTTGTCCCCGGCTTAGTACGTTTTATTTTCATTTTGAGACCTTTGTTGTCTAATGTGGCACGATGGTCTTGCTCTTGAGTGGTCTGTGTGGAATCTACAGGAGTGGTAGAGGCCATGTTGTCCGATTCCTTCTCAATGTCAGCGTCTAGATCAATGATCAAGTCTCCGACGCCTATGTCCCACTCGCTGTTGTCATCAGTGTCAAAATTAATTGCAGAAGGCGTGGGCTGGTATGGAACACCCTGCGGGTTTCTCATTGGGGCTGCCATCGGACAAAAGGCGAGCCAGGCCACAATGGCCCCCCGGACCGCACGCACATCTTAAGATCTACATAAAATATTTTTCTTAATATTATTCTAAAAATGAACATATTTTAAAGATATGAAGGATTAAAAAATGTACATATTTAACTTCTGATAATGGAATGGATGGCAGCTAGAATTACAAGCACAAAAAATAAACACTCTTCCCAATCATATTTTAAAAGTAGAAGGATTATGACAAGTGTAACATAATTTTCTGCTAATGGAATGAGCAGTTAGCATATGAGTATATTTCGCTGAAAGCCATCTTAAAAAACAGTTCATTTCATTATGTACCATGAGCAAAATAAATAATTTTTGTAAATTAATAGGTACTGAAATTTTATATTACTTCAAATAGCTATATTAAGTATCTGTTCAGCATAAATTGAAATATAATTTTATTTATATCTTAATGTGTGCATATTTCGAACTATAACAAGCACTTTTGTCAGTTTGCCAGTGGATATAATAATAAACTGAGTACGAAAGTGACAAAATACGTCGTAATTTTAAGTTATTTTTTTTAGAAAAATTAATTAAAAACATACCCTCTGGTTATCTGTGAATACTTCACACCTCTTATGAAATTCTTGTTGAGTGAATACTTCAACAAAAGCACACAATCACAGTGTCACTCCACCACGTCTTATCAAAAATATTAATTACATACTAAGAATAACTACCATAAAACTTTGCTGTTGCTTAATTAGAAATATAAGAAAATAACATTTACCTAGAAACTAAACAACAAATGATACAATTTGAAAAAAACATTGACATTACGAAGTTGATTTAAGCCTTGCTAATTCTATAATTCGATAATGTTCTCAATTCTTGAATCATTTTCGATCATTTTTGTTAAAGCGAATATGGTGAAATAAATAATAATATTTATCACTCGATTGGAAATTAATATCCAAAGGCAGCACAGCGTCCTTCATTTCCTAAATGACTGAAGTTGAATATGAACGTTGTAGTTGATTCTTTCAGCGTAACTCCTATAACAATATTATTATCTACCACAATTCACTGTTCTGTTGTATGTTTTATGCCTTATACATTAATATAACATCGTAACAATTCTTGATAAAGACAATAGTTCAAACACCGTAAACATTGTTCAATATCAGTGTGTGTTTTCTATTAATTCACTCGATCGACAAGATGGCTGCCCGTCTAATCCCATATACAACCATAGACGGAATTATTCAAAAGACTGACAAATATTTTCCCTCACTTTATTTTCAAGAGCGATTTTAAAAATCAACATGAACGTTTTTATTCATGAAAAATTATTGTATTATCATTAAAATATTTCTCTAAATGAGAATATATATATATATATATATATATATATATATATATACCGTTTTTACCGTGCAGAAAAATAATTCAAAAATACTACTTTAATTATATAGCTGGTTTTCTAAGCTATTTAAATATTCTTTCAATTATTTGCTTATGTTCAAACATAATAAAAATATAATAACAAAGCCAAATTAAAAGCGAAAGATTACTTGATCCTTAAAATTATCATATCAGCTTTTTGATTTTGAATTACACTCGAAATACACAAAATATATTTGGAGCATTTCCATAAATAATTAAGTAGTTTTAATTAAAATTCAATACTTTGTAATTCAGCGATGATTTTATTAGACATCGATTATTAGATATATTTATGTACACTTTTTTGTTTTTGTATCACAATGTCATGGCACACTTAACATAATTTGAAGCTAATTTACTCCAATAATATTTATTACATCACGTTAACAACTGTTATTATTTTAAATTCGTAAATTATTTTCATCACAGAAAATGCACGTTCATATTTCAAATTAATGCGTGTACCAACAGAACAGCCTTAAAATACTGCGGCCGTTTCTTGCTGTCAAAACAGTCAAACGTCAAAGAGATCAGCAATCAGCACAGAAAATACGATAACCAAAAAATTAATTAATAAAATCTGTGCAGTTGATTATGTTTTTGTGAATAGAGTTTTTTAATCTCAAGTAGATGATTATTGAAATGCTCAGGTTCTAAAATTAGTCATATTTCACTATTGAAATTCAAAATCATGAAACAGCCCAGGTCTCCTTCGGCTTCTTTATTTAGCTATTCTAGAAGCACATCGCCTTTACCTGCGCCAATTAACCATCGTCATGATTGCATGAGCGCTTTCTCAAAAATTCACCGATATGTGCGCAGACTATTCAAATTTCAACAAATGGATTTCGAATTTGCTGTATGGCAAATGGTTTATTTATTTATAGCTCCTCAAAAGGTTTATCGAAACTTTAATTATAGGAAACGTAAGCATTGTATTTGAAATAAATTACATAATTTATGTTCGACTAATTTTTGTGATGTTATAGAAACAAAATCACAATTTGCTAGGGATGATCCAGCGTTTTTAGTTTTGTTCACAGGAATGTTGTGTGGTAAGTGTTGATATGTGCTCTATAATGCTTAATAATTGCTCTCGATAATATTATAATTAACTTTTCTTTTATAGTGACATCTCTAGGCTTTGGTTGGGTTTTCAACCTGCAATTTAGCCAGACATTGTATTTTTTACTGTATGTGATATTTGTTGATTGCATTTTCATGGGTGTTCTTGTAGCCACAATGTTTTGGTTTGTTACAAATCGATATTTACGAATAAATCCAAATGCAGATGTGGAATGGGGATATGCTTTTGATGTGCATCTCAATGCGTTTGTACCACCCCTAATTATTCTACATTTTTTACAGCTATTTTTCTACTATGGTGAGTTTTTTTATTTATATGGAATCAATTATTTCATGTGTTATAAAAAATGTTTTTTAGGAGTTATAAGTCATGACTTATTTATTTCCCGATTAATTGGTAATTCTTTCTGGATGATGGCGGTGTCTTATTACATTTATATCACATTTCTTGGATACAGCTGTACGTAAAGTCACAATATGTTATTATTTCATAGCTGAGACATGTATTAATAGATGTAAAGTAATATTATATCTCAACAAATAGAATAAAAATAACAATAGTTTAAAAATACAGATTATAAATATATGAATTAGATTTTTTGATACTTCTGATATAGAATTGAGATTTGCAAAGTGATAATAAAATTATCATGTATGATCTAATTAATACAAACTGCCTCTTTAGCTATTGAAACAATAATGCACATTCTTCTGCTGTTCACGTATAATGTTCATAAATTTTAATCCGTAGGCATACCAGAGTTGCGACACCTTCGATTGTTACTTGCTCCATTACCTGCGCTTTTTGTTGTTTATCTTATTTCGTTAGCTGTAGGTTGGAATGTCAGTGAGACACTCATAAATTTTTATTTAGGCCGTGTACTGTAGAGAAGACAATGTTTGAAAATTATTATAAATTTATATGATGAGTTTATATGATTGAATGTGTGTGCATATGTGATTATGTATAAATATTATATATTTATTAATTAAGTCAAATATTTTTTGTATTGTATGGAATTCAAAAAAATATAACTAGTTTTTGGAAGTGATTTTATTTGATTAATTTTACCCTTTACATTACATATAGTTTTCTTTTCTACAAGAACAAGTTTGATTATAATCATTCATGTATTATCTAAACTAAATTTCAACTTGATATTGAATCAAGTATTAGTTTGCTAAATATTTTTTATTACATAAATAAACATACACCAAAGATGTCTGAAGATTACTTCATCGAAGGTGAAATATTTTGAGACCGTTGTATGTAAATGCGTGCATAATCTTACCTATGCATTTATATACATACAAGATATGCACATATATATATATATATATATATATATATATATATATGTATGTATATATATATATATATATATATATATATATATATATATATATATGTTATATGCACTAACTATGTATATATGCATATGCATTAGTGCACTGATACATTGCTTACAAGCAATGTTTTTTTACACAATTAAAAACATCACAGAATTTAGCATAATAAATGTTGCATATTACATTAAGAAAAGAGATATTTACACTTATTTCAATTAAATATTTGCAATGAGCAATTATAAAACAAATGATATTCTAATAGAACAGAAATGAGAATCTAGATATTTCAAAGTATGCTTTTCTGTCCACAAGTTAACCATTTATTTAATAATTTTTTATTTAAGCAATTCTATGAGAAATTTTTCTTAAAATGCTTTTAAGACCGCTTGTGTATATTGATCAATTTTGTGAATATGTTAATGTAAGCAGAAAATGAGAATGAGTTATCAAAAATCTATTAATGCTATTCATTACATAAATGATTGAAATTAAGCGATTAAATTTATCTAAAATATTTTAAAACATTAGATTCACGGCTTAACTAATTAGCATGCACTTAAAACTTGAAGTAACGACATTTTTATTGTCAATTTTATAATATTAATAGTTTACATAAATATAATCTTTTAATTTTTTTTTATATATTTGAAGTTTTATCCATGATACTGGTAGAATCTCTTTAACCAACAAAACACCATGATTGTTATTGGTCAAGATTAGATATATGGACAAAAACCAATAATGGATCAATATGCATAAAATTCTTTCTATTTTAGATAATACATGTAGTATAAATGACGTAATCAATATACACAATATTTAGTAATTACAGAACTATTTATAACAGTATGTTATGTACATTTCATTATAATGTACAGCAAAGCACATGAACAAGTATTTTTATATGCATATGCATGCGTGTATATACATACATACACTCAAACATACACATGTAACATCTATAAAAGCATGTGTGTTTATTGTAATCAATGCATATATTGAATTAATATTAGACATCTAATAAATCTAATCCATCTTGCACACTTTAGGCAATTTACTACTTTCCTCTTTTTTTAGTTAAATATGTATGCATATTGAGATATTAGACATTACACGAAATTTATCATTTAATTTTTCTCACCGCAATACAGATTTAACTTGAAAAAAAAAATTCTGCTGAATAGAATGAGTTTCCTTTCTTTAAATTTGTTTAATAGGCCATTCCAAGTAGTTACCATGGATCTAATTTACCTATAGTGTGAAAGAAGTATTACACAACATTCAATAAACAAACAATCCAGCATTTCAATTCTGGAATCCATTGTGTAACAATTACATATTTAAAACAATTGACATTCAATGTACAATTATTACTAGCAGCATTTATTAGTTGTATACTCTGATGTTCCACACGACAAATATTTGAATTGTAAATATATATATATATATATATATATATATATATATACACACATATATATTACACAGAAAGAGATCAATAGCAATGTATAAGTAATGTAATAATATATTATGCTTATAAGTAACACAAGAGACATTCTTCGAGCGCTAAAGTAATTACACTTGCACAGTGCATGCGGAATGTAAGTATGTATACGTCTGATCATGATACATTGTATGATCATGATATACATATACATATATTCATATGTTATATGTACACGTGTGATTAAGATTTGTGACTTTTGGTGCAAGAGTAATTGGGATGTTAAAACACTCTTATGGCATTTAAAATCACACTGACTTCACCCAAATTTATTCAAAATAATTATTAAAAATATTTCCTAAAGAATGCACTTATTTCAAGTCAGGCTCATCGTCCAGCAGATCGTCATCGGTTTTGGGCGCTGCGCTACCGCCAGCGGACTCATTGACTACCTCATAGTCCTGCAGCTCGGCTTCGAGCTCTCGCTCCCAATCTTCTTCTACATGACATCGCTTTATTTAAATATGAAATCTCACGAGTCGAGGCCAATTAAACCGTTAAAAAACGACAACAGTATGCCCTCCCTAATCATTTGGGCATCCCCATAATTTTTTATGAAAAGTTTTCATTCTGATTCGATTGTTTTTTACTTTGGTAACAGTAGCGTTAACTTATTAAATCTTTCCACTTAACGAACTAAACAAATCTAATTGTAAGTATAATCGTCTTTATTGATTACGTGTGAAAATTCTAACAGCGAAGCTTCATTTAAATACTAAAAGACCATTACAATAAATGTTAAAATGTTATTTCAATTTGAACCTGTTGTCGTTATTGATTTCGGTACCGTTGGCCTATAGAGATGGAATTAGGTTTGGTGTTAGGTTGCGTGAGGGTTTAAAATGAACAAATAATATGCATACGTGAGTTAGTGCAGAGGTGAAATTTATAATATAAAAATAATCATTAACAAATGGGTGAGTGAAACTAATAATCCTTAGTAATAACTAATAAGTCATGGTAAATATGAATTTTAAAAATAAAGCGTATAAATTAATTGGATATTAATCCATTATTTTATAATACACATAAAATTTAATACAAAGCTTTTTACAGATAATTTTGTCGTCCCGATCTCGTTACAACAAAACTATTGACAGCATAATAAAATTGATACATAACAATTAGTTGAATTTAAATTGCACTTTCGTCGAATTAAATCTTTTCTATATAATATGCAATAATAACAATCTTAGATTAAAAGTCCATATATCACTTTGTTAGATATAGCTTTTTTAATATTTTACAATGTACACGCTGAAAAAAAATATCATTTCTCCAATAATAGGCAGTTTGCGAGCTTGCTACGTTTGGGCTAAGAATAATGATTTTTGCCTTATTTCATCGAACCGATTATCAAATGGATTTATGCCATTCTTTCAATCATAGATTAGCGCAATCATACCACAACCAAATATTTACAATATTATGAGCATCCTTTCTTCATATACCAACGTAGAATTGATCTCTATCATAAACCAAACGCGGTTATTATTATATAAAGATGTATGTTCGGAATAAGATTTGCGCTAATGTAAAATTTAACAAAAAGACAATTTCTAGACCTGCAGTAGTAAACTTCCAAATTACCTAGTTTTTGAACAAGGCAATTATATATTAATCAATAGTTAAAGTCGAAGTGCTCTAAGTAACTGTGCTACTAATTTTAAATAATGTACAGTAATAGTTATGACACATATATAGTACTTCTTTTGTAAGAATTAATTTGTTTATATTTATATGTATGTATATGCTAAAATTACAACTAGTTATTTATAAATCAGAAGAGCTTGTTTTAAAACAATTCATATTTCGCCGACTCCCCTATTGAAATATAAATTAAAATTTTGCTACGACTAGAACGCGTGGTTTCTTGCAAAGTGAGATCATTTTATAATGATAAAATTCTGACCGAAAATTATATGTCGAAATGTCAGACCAGAATTAGTTGAGTGTAAACGGTTTATTCGTCTTTCAATGTCCGGCGTAAGTCACAATACAATATACGTTCACTGAAGCGATACGTTAAAAGGTGTTATAGAATAAGAATGCATTTCAATAATGAATAATACAGCTAAAGATTGAATTATATCCCACTTTGCAACGCATATTTGAGTTAAGAGCAGAGACCGACGGCAGACGGGCAGAGAGCGATGTCCATGCCGTTCGTTCGTGCACTGAAATATTATTATTCCACTTAACATCTGAAGTACGCGGACAGATATGTTTACCTATATTTGTACATATATAGAGCAATCGGAATGTAGGTAGGTTCAGATAATACAGATTTCCATAAACGGAATATAAATGCGTCCAGGGTATTCACAATATTAACCAATTTTTATTTCTTAAATTCTGGTCGTTCTCCTAAAGATAAGAAGACTCGTTCGCCAGACCAATGGAAAACTTACCACGCTGGTAAAAAATAATATCTGCTTACAAATAATGAACCGTATCATTACAAAAAGGTGAACATAAGAATACTTAGTGTATCCTTGACCATTTTTGTGCCAATTGACTTGATTTTTGATTGATAAACTATAACATATATAAACTATTTTACGGAAACTTTACGGTCGCAATAACTCATTATATAATCTATTTTTTCTTTTACCATTGTGTCAGCGTTTTTATCATGTTTGGAGATGTAATTATAAATGTTTTTGTCAAAGGTTAGTCGCAATACAATAGCGTATGCTAAAATAAATATGATATTAAAAATATAAATGACAAATTGATGACAACACAAACTATACAGCGTTAAACTAAACTAATAAATTACAAAATAGGCTTCTTGGGAAAGGTGAAGAATTGGGATTACTGATAGGAAATCTTTGTGATACGAAATTACGCTTCTATAAATACAATCATATCAAAGTCATGACGCCATTTGGTTTTAGTATAGTCGTTTTGTCATCTTCTTTAGGCTGTTAGAAAAAAGAAAAACGAAGATTGGGTTAAAAACACTCAATGACAAAGTTTCATTCGTTAAGTCCAGGGAATAAAGACAAAAATTAATTAATTGTCTGAATAATTTGACAAAAACAAGACTTCAGAGACAAATATTCATCGTATAGTAAGAAACCAAATCTAAAAGTCATACTACTTCATAAATAAACTTATTTTACCATTGTCATTTTTTATGTTTTCGCTCCAATTCCCTGGACTTGGCTGCTATTATTTAAGTTATTATTATACTGATATCTAACGATTAGATCTGTTTTTATTTTATTCGTATGGAATAGTATTTGCAAGAAGATTTAGAAAATAATCTAAAACAAATTAAGAAGTCGATTGGTGTAAAAATATAAATTGAATTCATTTAACAACGCTGTTTTTAAAAGATTTGGGTTTGTTAAGTTTGTATTTATTAATATGGCAAAGTAGAATTACTATATCATTAATAAGCGGAACAGATCGCCTCGCCTAAATATCTTATTCAATTACAATTTCATTTGTATTCAATAGTAGTACGTGTCTTGTGTGCAAAAAATAAATAAACAAAAATAATAATAAGTTCAGTAAATTAGTAATTTAGTTGTCAGTCGAAACGGCTGTAAAAAGTTGTATATTTTCCAATTATCGAAGATTAGTGCGTAACCATTTATTGATTACACAACAACTATAGTAGGAATATTTAAAAGTAATAAAACTGAATTGATTTATATAAAACTTTGCCAATTATGAATGTATACCTTTACGACTTTTGATTGCACATTTCTAATTGCGGCAAATTACCACTTTTATATACAACTTATCATAATCACTATGTTAATTTAATAAAAATTTCGTTGCGAATTACGCACATTGCTATATTTTTAAAGATATAGTATGATTTAAAAACAACATTTATAGTTATATATTTATAGTTATATATTTATAGATTTATATTAGATACTCAGCTACATAAGTGAAGTGAAGGACATATAAATGTATTAGTACAATCTTTGGTAATTTATATGATGCAATATAAAAATAAATTCATTATAAGTAATATTCGACATGAATTAAAACACAGAGATATTTTTATTACGAGCCGTGCTTACCTTTTGTACTGACATCGATTTCTAAATTATTCATTGATTTTGGCAATTTTGTTTCCGAATCTTTAAAGTCACCAGTTGTCGCTTTATCGCCTTCACTTGCTAATGTTTTGTCTTCGATAAGATTTCAGTAAAAAACGAAAGTAATAATGCAAAAAAAAAACAAAATTATAATGAAAACAGAAATAATATAAACATTATGTTCAATACAACTAAATCATTAATATATAAATTAGAAATTAACAAAATCAAAAAACGTAACGGACTATCTGATGAATTTAAAATGCTCTTTCAATAAAGTTTTGCTTATTTTGTCATTTTAAACTATTATTGCTATCAAACAACATAAGAATAGAATTCCATCATATAAAAATGCTACTTACCAGTTTGCTGAGTCTCATGGGCCTGACAGATCAGAGATACGCGATAGAAGTAATTTCGCCAGAAGTTCTCTTCAGTGATTCTGAAATATATAATATTATAATAAATTATAATAAATGTTATTTTACATCTTTAGATTGTATCAACATATTGATGAAGAAACATTTTATTATAAGAGTAATATAAATGCCATTATTTTATTTACAAATTATATTCTTGATTTGTTCTTACATTTTCGGGACAAGTTCAAATCTCATTTCTTCCAGGTTGGGGTCCTCGGCCATAATGGCGATAGCGGTCGGATAAGACACGTCGTAGTCGAATGCAAAATCAACGCCCGCTGGCGGCGCCCGTACGAAGTTGCGACGGTCCTATGGTGAGTAAATTATTTATATGTATTATTATTTAGGCAATTCATAACAATACTTAATGATTTTATCGATGAAATTAAATGATCTTTGTAAGGTTTCGACTATCTCACAACTCGTCGACTCATAGTCAACGGTGTCGCCATAATTAAAATTAATGTCTGAAAAGTAGCGATTCTTCGAAATCTAGCTATAAAAATGTGCGATAAATTATTACCTACATTGAGATGTTATACCAAATTAAATAATTATTAAGAACAATTACCGTTGACAATCCTAGACATTCCTCCTTCAGCGCCTCCTCATTTGGATGTCCTGCCCAAGGAGGAACGGCAGCCGCAGTATTGCTCTGTTGGCCTTTAATAAACGCTTCTTGCTCTTTATTGAATTCGCCCAATAAGTTCTACAAAATATTCAATTGTAACAAATATAATGCAATATAAGTCATTTATTATAAATTACTAATTTATAATTATTTCTTAACGAATGCTTTAATGAATTTAAGTCACATTCATAAAAAAACATTATAATTTGTGATTAAAAGAAATTAAATTGTATACCTTAAAAAGATCTCATATTAAAATTTTCATACTTCTACTTCTCTAATTATGATCTCTCATTCTAATATACTTTCTTCTTACTGCTACTTCTAGACATATTTTGGGTCATGCTAAATGAACATATATATTTGGATCAGTACCAGAATATAATAATTGATATTATGGAAACTTGCCAAAAGTTGAGCTAATCAAAGTATGGTTGAAAAAACTTTTTGTCTGCCTATTATTTACTGACTTTCACATTGAAGTAAACCTCGCGCTAAACACATTAATTAAAATAGTGGGGTGTATGGCATCGTGCCTTAAGGCAAATTGCTGGAACTTCCCGTACCGTAACGAAATGTTAAAAAAACTAAAAGAAAAGAAAAAAAGCAAAAAAAATGATAATTTTTTTTTCCAAAATCAATTATTTTGTTAAAACAAGCTGAAAGTTCTTTGAATCATATAAATTGGACGCTTAGTTCTCTCAAAAACTGCCATTTTTCGCACATTTAGCTCTGTATCTTCGAAATGGCTGGGCCTGCCATTGCCAAAAATTAATAATCACTTTTCCCAATCATTACTAATTGAATGTTTTTTAGATCATTCAAATCGGAAGCTCCGTTCACTCAAAAACTCGATTTCTATTTTCTGTACTCTTTGCTCCGTATCTCCGTAACGGCTGGATCTGCCTTAGCCAAAAACTAATCAGCACATCTCCCTATCAATAGGAATCGAATGTTTTTTGAACCATTCAAATCGGTTGATCCGTGCGCCCGAAAACGTGGACGAAAAATTGATAACGAGCAAAGAGTGCAGAAAATAGAAATCGAGTTTTTGAGAGAACGGAGCATCCGATTTGAATGATCTAAAAACATTCAATTAGTAATAATTGGGAGAAGGGGTTATTAGTTTTTCGCAAAGGTAGGCCGAGCCATTTCGGAGATACAGAGCTAAATGTACAAAAAATGGCAGTTTTTGAGGGAACTAAGCGTCAGATTCAATTGATTCAAAGAACTTTCTGCTTGTCTTAACAAAATAATTGATTTTGGAAAAAAAAAATTTGTTTCAATTAATTTTTTTTTTTTTTTTTTTTAATTTTTTGTATATCGAAAATAATAATTCAGATTTTATTTTTAATTCTGACTATAGTTCTAATATACTTTAAACAAATAATTTCAACTCTGCAATTCAGTTTATATAATTCTTATAAATATTAGACAATGTTACAATATTTATAATAATCTATTTGAAAATATTCAATATTCCTCGAACATTTCGTTACGGTACGGGAAGTTCCAGCAATTTGCCTTAAGGCACGATGCCACCCACCCCACTAGTTTGTTATTGAGATACTCTTTAATTTTTTGAAAGTACGTATCGAATCTCGACGTCAAATTTGTCGATTTCTAAAACAGACACATGAATGAGTATAAGTATGAAAGCGAATAAGTTCAATTAGTTCAATTAAAACAAAGAATAGAACATAAAACCAGTTGCCATCGGTATTTAGCCTTGAGGCAAGTTACATGAACTTCCCGATAAGTGTAAATAATCGACTTAATCAATAATAAACAAATAAATTTATGAGTGATTAGAAGTATTCCGAGTGGATTTATTACACATAATTGGAAAAGAACGAACTTAACGTGTTCGGAGTATTTTCTAAAAGCAAATTATCACAAATCAATAAGTTTTATAATTGAACCAGTTTCCGTAAGGCTTTAATGGTTTAGTACGTTCATTAAGACCAAATACTCTATTGTTATACAAAGTAAATCGCCTAACTTTAATTTCAACAAACGTCAAAAAAACTACTCATTTTCTCAAACTTTAACGAATTTTTAAAATTAAACGACTTGTTGTAAGGCCGTAATATTTCAGTAAGTTCTATAAGACCAAATATATATCGCCAAAAAAAGTTTCATAAAAATCGACTCATTTTTTTTCAACAGTTAATTACAAGAAAACGGCTCGGTAGATTTTCACCTAAAACTAATCAGTATCATTCCCAACTAATATCTTTCGAACAGTTTTTGATTTTTTTAAATCCATTTGGTAGTTTGAGCTTAAATGTGGACGAAAAGTCTAACACTTTTTTTCAAATTACAAAGAAACGGCTCGGCAGATCTTCTTACAAAACCGACAAACTATAGTCTTCATTGAGATACATCAAATCTTTTAAATTTATGAAATTGGTTCAGGCGTTTTTGAGAAAACGTCGATCACAGGTCTAATCTTGACAAATGCCAAAAAACGATACTAATTTTTGCAAACTTTGACGAATTTTTTAAATTAAACAAGTTGTCGTAGGGCCGTAACATTTTAGTATGATATACAAAACTATGGTATCTACCGTAAAAAAAAATCATAAAAATAGTCAACATTTTTTTTCAAGAAACTTTATTACAAGAAAACGGCCCGGCCGATCTTTACCAAAAACTAATCAGCACGATTCCCAATCTATAACTATCGAACGGTTTTTGAATTTTCAAAATCGATTCAGAATTGCGGGCTAAAACGTGGACGAAAAATTTTCCACTTTTCTGCGATTTACAAAGAAACAGCCCGGCCGATCGTCGCACTCAGAAACGTTAGTCCTCATCTAGATACATCGAATGGCTTTTTTATTTTTGAAATCGATCCAGTCGTTTTTGAGAAAACGTCGATTTACGGCAAAAAATCTGTTCACACACACGCACACACACACATACTTTTTCCAAATTTGGTCTCATTTGATTCAGAATGGCTTGAAACGTCGAGAAAACATATAATTAGCGATGATGAAAACATAAACTTCTCCTTCGGGAAGTTAATAAAAAATTTCTAAATAGTAGTAAGTTCTGAATATTTTATATGTATGCATGTTTATTATATAATAGAAGGCTTCTGTGCGAATCAATACTAGAGAAGCTGAGCGAGAGAGAATAACCTGCTGTATGCGTGCAAACACATAAGCGATGTGTAATGAGGAAAATATACGTTTTCAACAAAAAAATCATACGAAAATCCTGATTATTTTCACGCGATGAAGGTTCCATAACATGGCTAATACAGTTATTTGAAGTCAAATAAAAAACATAATTTTTGCCATATCGCATAAACTAGTAAAAAACACCCGTCTAATTCTAAGCAAAAATTTAATACATCTATAGTCCCAAATAAAAATAAGTATTTTCAATATTTTTGCAGATATACATTAACTTATGACTATTGAAATGTTTGATTTCATTACTATATTGATTTGATTGATTTCATTACTATATTGATTTTTTTTCAAGTATGTTCAACGGTGATATTGGCATTGCATTAACCGCATGTTGATTTTAAAGCACGATTTATTATTTTTACATTAATGAAGATACTAAAACACGGCATTTTTCCGAAAAAAGATCACAAAAAGATGACAAAAAATTATATAAAATAGTATAAATATCAAAAATATAAGAATCTGTTGAAGAAATTTTACTAATTTGCGTATTTATAAAATTTACTGCAAATAAATCAATTTCATTTATAAGGCCATTTTTTATTATGCTACTTCTGCAATCTCTGTGGATCTTATAAATGATAAAATAAGGAAACTACTTCTGAGATAAATTTAGAATAAAGAGCATATTTTATCACACTTATTACCAGTGGTACTGTGTTTTTTTTCGATACTGAGTACTTTTGGAATCGATACTTCGGGCCGATTCTTTTGGCGGTATCGATACTTTCGCCGATACTACTCAAAAAGTATCGGCCATATTTTTTGATCCCGCCAAAAGTTTCGATCGAATTCGAAATTCTTCGAATTTTATGAAACCACTCATTCTCTTTTGACGCGGCGGCACGGCTCTTCTTAGATAAGCGATAAGCCGAGCGCGATATGGTTTTTGTTAAAGAAATTGTTAATGAATGCTCAGTTCGAAGCCAGCGATTAACAATAAATAAAAGAATTAGAGTTTAAGATTACGTATGTCGATAATATAATTTCTGTTACCCCAGAGAACATATGTTTATCAACGATAATAAGTATTGATTTAACTGTATTATTATATTGTACTGAGTAGTATCGATACTTTTGCCACGATACTTTTTTGGTATCGATATTTTGTTTCGATTCTTTTTTCAGTACTCAGTGTCGATACTTTGCCTCGATACTACTCAATTCAGCCAGTTCTCGTTATTACAAACGAGGAAGCACCGGAACGACGTTCCGGAGCATTCCGGCTCGACAACACCACTGCTTATTACAATTAAAATACTCAAATCAACTTATATTGATAAACTACGATTAATAAAACTTCAAAATAGATATATAAATAATATAAACTGTATTATTTCTTAATATGCTAACGATTACTTGTTTTAAAAAAACAATTATTTTGACTCACATTTTCTTCAACGGTTTTCTTGATTTTTGCACCAGCCTCGCTCACTTTGGCACCTGCTTTGTTGACTGCTGAATACAAAAACCCACCAAAAGATTTGACGCCTGCTACGGCTTTGTTTGTGACTGCAAAATACATAAAAACCATTAGATATACTTAATGCCTTAATAATATCCAATACTACTTTGAAGAAACAAATGATTAATAATACTAAAATGTTGAGAATAAGAAATAACGATTAAATCAATTCAAATAATTTATAACGTTTATATCACATTATATTTAATTCGTGTACCTGCTCCGAGTTGGCCGGCTTGCTCATCTGTCGGAGTGTTGGCGGCCGAAGCGGGGCCGCTGTCTGCGCCACCTGTCGCGCTGAAATCGAATTAGAAAACAAAAAATTCAACATAAAATCAAACTAATCGTTGTTCCACAGCGGAATACTAAATAACAGATAAAGATCATTATGCAAAAAGATATTTGTTATATTCTTAATTAGATTCATTAGTTATGTCAAAACTAACTAGATATTTTTATTTCAAATGCAACATGTTTATAGGTGGTCGTATGTAGTGGCAGAACAGTATATCAATACTAGTTGCGTGATCTGCGCACAACTAAACTACGAAAAATTCATTCGAAAGCTTTTGTATACATGCGTGTACACTGTACAGTAGAACCTCGATTATCCGGACCTCAGTTAATCGCAAGATTTATTATGGAATGAACAAGAGGCAGATACATGATGTCATGAGCAATATTTTCGAATTCGCAAGACATCGCCTATTATATGTTTCAACAAGCATTATAAAAAAAATTAACAATACAAAAGAATCATTACCACCCGAATTGAAGATTTTTATGAAGATCCGTAGTAAAATGATAAAAATTAGTAGTTCACGCGAATAAAATGATGTTCGCAGTTCTGGCGGACATCGGAGCAACCAGATATTACCTGAATATTTTGCCAATTTTATGAGACCATAATCATAAAATGACTCGAAACGATACCTTTTTTCATAAAATACAAAAACATATTTTCAAAATCACATAGGTAAAAATATGCTTTTGGCATACTGGTGAGCAGATTTAAAATATTTGCAAGAGCAATTAATCTATCAATGAAAAAAGTAAATCTAATAATATTAGCCTGCTGCTATTTGCATAATTTTTTAAGTAAGGAAAACATTGACATCGATATCGATATTGATGCAATTGATGATGATCCAAGCCAAAGCAATTTCGAAATGAAACACTCATTAAGCGCATCTGCAGTTCGTGACAATTTTAAAACTTATTTTGTTACTTAGCAGCACGATAGAATATGAAATTTTTAATATACTTGTATCATCATTAATTAATCATTACAAAAAATATATAAAAATATTCAAATTCTTCAGAATTCATGTATATTATGACATTTGTTTCAGAATTGTATGCATATATATATATATATATATTTTGTATGATTCTGAATTTGATGTTGACATATGTATTAACAAAGTCTAATAATCGGGCATAACATCAATAAAAAACATGAATTTCTTTCAAAAATTTATTTTAAATCCATACGTTTCGGCTATAATCCTAGCCTTCATTCAGTGGAAACTAAAAATAAAATTAAAAACTGAAACAATTGAATTGGAGTGAAAAGAAAAAAATAAAATAGTAATTAGTACTTACAATTAGTTATTATTAGTAATTAGTTACCATATCCTAATACCATGGATTATTAAAATTTTCCAATTTAACACTAAGATCAACTAATTGTAAGTACTAATTACTATTTTATTTTTTTCTTTTCACTCCAATTCAATTGTTTTAGTTTTTAATTTTATTTTTAGTTTCCACTGAATGAAGGCTAGGATTATAGCCGAAACGTATGGATTTAAAATAAATTTTTGAAAGAAATTCATGTTTTTTATTGATGTTATGCCCGATTATTAGACTTTGTTATATATATATATATATATATATATATATATATATATTTCAAAGTAACTAGCAGCCCATTCGTCGAAATAAAAAAGGTATAAAGTATAAAAACTTTTATTTATACGTTTCGACACAAGATGCGTGTCATCATTCAGCAACTACAACAATTTGAAAATTTTATTAACTAATATAAACAACAATATAAATTAATTATAGCATAGAGAAACATTATACACACCACAGGACAAAAACACTCAACAAAAATTTATTTTAAAAAATTAAACTTAATAACATATTAGAGAAAAAAACATTTTTTAGAAAAAATTATGAATAACTAAAAAAAGTTAATAAAATTTTCAAATTGTTGTAGTTGCTGAATGATGACACGCATCTTGTGTCGAAACGTATAAATAAAAGTTTTTATACTTTATACCTTTTTTATTTCGACGAATGGGCTGCTAGTTACTTTGAAATATGTTTCAACGTCGAAAAAACTATCAAGATATATATATACAGTAGCGGCGCTAGGCGTCGGCGGTGTCGGCGGCCGCCGACGGCCTCGCGCCTGGGGGGGCCTCGCAAGAGGCCCCAGAAAAATTTTAATTATTTAAAATTTAATTTATTTTTATACGGATGTGCGAGTAAAGAAGGTGATTAGTGGTTTACAGGCACTAGGTGATTAGTGGTTTACTCTTTTATCTTTTATGGACATTATCTAATATCGTCTGTCAACACTATAGATTATTAAATCTAAACAACTTCGCGCAAGCTAATTCTCTGGTTGTTTATATTTGTGTATTTCTTATGTGAGCACAATGTAAATCATCGTTCTTTTTGGAAATACATACGAGTGGAAATCTTAATGTATCGAAACAGTAATTAAATATTCGAGGAATAAAAGTAATCAATGATCAATAAAAATTGATCAATGAGAAATAACAATGAGATAATAACAAAAACTGTTAATTTGAAATTAATTATTGTTTCACACCGTCAACACAAGCAATATATTTTTTTAAACATTCTATTGGGATGATCAGTTCTTTCAAATAAAATTGATAACCTTTTAAACTTTTTTGTATCTCCGAAACCGCTGAACCTGCCTTTGAAATTTTATCAACACGAATCGAATGTTTTTTAAATCCTTTAAATTGGTTGTAGGTTGATCCGCTCTGATGTCGTCAACAAAAAATTAAAGCGTCTTAAAAAAACGTCATTTTGACATTTCTGAACCAATTTTAAAAATTCAAAAACTGATCGAAAGTTTTCAGTTGGCGATCGTGCTGAATTGTTTTTCGTCAAGATCGACCGCACAGTTTCTTCGTAATTTATTGTAAAAATCTTTTTTCAAAAAAACTTGTTAGTCTTATCTAACATAAATTTTATGGAACTACGATAAATGATTAATTATAAAAACTCATTAAATTTTAGAATAATGGGACGAGCTTTTAGACCGTGTGTACCTACTATGTGATGTGCGGATTTGTGCACTCAAATTAGTATGAACATAGAATTTTTAAATCTAATTAATCACTTGCAGATTGCAAAATTTTGTCTAATTAGTTATTAAGTCGGTGATTTCCAACCATTTTTTATTCATAATGATCGAAAAAACATAAAATTTGCTAATCAAATGGTTGGGCAAAAGGAAACTTTTTCGCGATAATTATTCAATTTTAGTGCTTTTCTAATAGCTGGAGAACAAACCATTTTTGCCGAAGAGTTTGTTTATTTTAACTTGTGTAATTTTTGTCTATTCCAATTGGTGTATTTATCTGATTAATTAACAGTTATAGTAATCGCAAAAAATCTAAAACAAATCTGTTTATATATCTTCAAAGATTTCTGAACATTTTGGCAAATTTTCGTCGATGATTTCGCGAACATGGATCAACCAATTTGAAAAATTCAGAAAACATTTGACACGTATTGAAGGTAAGAAGACGTGCTGATTAGTTTTTGGAAAAGGCAGGATAAGCTGTTTTGAAGCTATGGGGCAAAAAGTGCCAAACTGATTACATTTTTAGGAAAGCAGGTTTCCTAAACCTAGCGGTTTTGGAAATCCAGTAAAAAATCACAACAAAAGCCATTTGACACATGCACATCAAATTATCAGATATTTTATAAAGATTTTAATTAATAGTGAGTTAAGTTAGACTGCAACGCGGCGTTTACGCGCTTCGATATTTTGTCTCTAAGCAGCTAACGCAACGTGATTGCTTTGAAAAAAGTTTCAGCAATTTGCCTCTAGGCACGATGCCATATACCACTAGTCAACTTGCAACTGGCAAAAAAGGGGGGCCTCGCAAACGAATTTCGCCGACGCCCACGAATGGTCTAGCGCCGCCACTGTATATATATATATATATATATATATATATATATATATATATATATCTTTTAAACCTGATGAATATATTAACAATTGTACTATTAATTGTATTATATATAAATAAATATATAAAAACAGATAAAACATTGCGCTGTTTTAATACATTGCATTGTAAAAATTGCTGTAGGTAAAATATGTATTTATAAATACATACTTTGATTAACATAATTCATTAAATGTCTGTCAATAATGCCTGGGTATTCCTTTTTGTAAAAGCTAACATTTCGTTTAATGTATTAATCCTGAGTCCAGGAATATTCGAACCCAAAGTCCCCAAATAAATTTAATCTGATTTTTAATTCTATAAATTAACCGTTAACACCTTAGATCGCAAAATCCATTTCTTGCGCTGATTTCAATAATATAAGAAAAATATTAAATTTTTTTTCTTTAATTAATTAACCAAATTTCTTTATATATTATAAATAAAATCTTAGAAATAAATATAGTAAGAACGGCAATGCAATGTATTATTATCTATTAAAAAACTTTTTATATACTACAAAAAATTGATTATACTGGGGAAATACATACATAAAGTTTTCCACATTTTATTCATATGAATAAAAAATTGATTTTTAATTCGTGTTTTTTCCTTCAAAAATAAATAAAATATTGAATTTGTTTTAAAAGTTGTCCGTTTTTAATTGCACCTCAAAAAATATGAGTCATTGGTTTGGAATTTAATTCCACTTATGAAATCCACATTGCACGACCCATTCTCGCATCTGCATTATTGTAAATATACATATAAATATAAATATTGTAGACGTATATTCCAAGATTAAAGACCATATTTCAGGTTAAAATTAGGTTCTAATATAATGTAAATCGTGAATAATTTGTTATAACGGCTATTGATCTACGTTTGAACAATATTTTGAGCTATATATTTGAGACAAAATTCATTCCAAATTCATCTGTTGCAAATGTACAACATTAATTTTATATGATTAACTTTAATATGATTTTTATATAAAAAATAAATGTTTAAATAAAATGAAAACGATCTAAAATTTGCAACAAAAGTCGATTTTATCTCATTTCA